CTACTACTGCAACTGCTACTACTACTACTACTACTACTACTACTACAGCGACGACGAAGACTACTGCTAGTACTTCTGATGTTGACCTTTCGGCTGGCTTGGGATCATAACTGTTGAAAGGTCTTTGTTGCGCGGGGTTCCGATTCAAACGGGGGCACCCTTTGAGATGGTCCGCTTGGGTCCCACCGCTGCTTCACCGATCCATCGTTTAATTTGTTCAGTTTGCTACATTTCCAGCTATTTTGCGCATGTCAGGGGCCTGGAATCCTAAAGCCTGCTTGCCGTGGATGCACCAAGGAAGGGGACGATGTACTTGTGGCTCCTCGGCTGAGTTGTGTGGCCGTTCCTAGACCGTAAACCCTAAACTGATTCGGTCGCGAAATAGACCTTCAGTTTCTTCACCTTGTAAAGCTTCTGTAAACTCGTAAACTTTAGACTCAGACCCCCGCCAATAAGCAGGTTCAACTACCTTGACAACGGAGAAGACGACGTGCGAACGATTCATGCTGGTTGCAGCTCCAGCGCTAGCTACAAAATGATTGGTACCATGTGGCTCGGTGCAGAGGTTCCGCTCAGGGTTCCGGGTTTATCAGGGATGACTTTGGCCAAGATAACCCAGACAGAGCAATCCATGCGAAATAAAGTCAGGCAGGCAATAATTGAAGCGTTTGGAAGGGGCCCGAAAAGTCCACCAGAGCCTTGACTGCGTGATTCCATGCTGCTTTCGGGACTTGCCGGCGCTGTAGTACGGCTTGTGTATGTTCGTACATGCTCGTGAGAAGGGGCCGCTTAGCTTCGCATACTAAAGTTTCGGGACAAAAACCATGACAAGTTGGCTGGCCTTGGAACTCAGAACTGCCCCTTCATGAGCTGTTCGGGCTGTCGCAGGCAGTAATGTTCAGCTTAGCTTTCTGGCAAGTGCCCCTTGCGCCATATGTGTTGTGTAGGTACAGCAAGCATAAGTATGCTAAGCTGATAAGATGGAGGTACGAGCACATGCAGCTATCTCATTTTTGAACAAGCCAACCGACCTTACTCTGTATGATCACTGCGATATGTGCCGTTCGACAACACCGCAAAGCCCAAGCAGAGACTTCACAGTCTTTGCATGGAGTGTTGGGGAACCTGGCTGCTTGAAGCCTTACCGTTGAAGCTAAGATCCCAGACCTGAAGCCGATTCAAGGTATGCCCAGCCATTCCAGCTAGGTCAGCAAACCTGCATGAGACATAGCCCCTGCGTTCGGCTATCTTTGAGTCGGGCTCCACAGCAAAATTAGAGAACACGTTGAACCTGACAGCTCACACCTCTCCCCTCCGATGGAAAATGTCTGACCATAAAGGAGCCCTTCAATGGCGAAGCCAGAATATACCTTGGTCACTCTGCCAAGCCCCCCAGAACAGGAAAAGGGACCCGAGTTTGCAACCCCAGACTCTTGAACATCGACCCCTGAAGCCGGCAACCTGCAAACTTTGCCAGTCAGAGTTCCTTCAGTTTTTCATGGCTCGACAAACCCGATAAAAACATAAGAGACAGCCTTAGACAAATGCTGCACCCCAAACGCAGCCTCCAATGCGCCAAGGTTCCTACGTGACGGCAGCGGGCCCTTTCGACCCTAGGCGTGCAAGGAGGTAAGGTGCGGGGCGTTTTTTTGTTAGGGATCGGGGTTTAGGAGTTTGGGGTACGGCTTTTGGGGTGTTGGCGTGGTTTTGGCCCCGCAGCGAAAAAACTCGCAGCATGAACCCTGGCAGCCTCACATTCTGGCAACACAGTCAAAGATTCTGGACAGTTCGAAGGCGAATGGGGCCCCAGCAAGCAGCGCAAATTGCAGTCTCGGCTCGATCTCGAAGCCGTATCTTGCCTCTGGCGAGATGGCTGTCAGGAGAAGCAAAAGCAAGAGAATCGGATATGATGAAATAGACTACGAGGAACAGCTTGATGCCTCCTGGAGGTTCAGCACATGTCATCTGTGCGTACGTGTATCTGCTTGGGACGACCTCGGCCTACACTCAAAACAAGATGCTTAACCATGCCTACAAGAAAAGACAGTCCCTGCAAACGAGAGTTTGTCTTTAGGAGAGCACGACTCGTTCTGGAATCCCGCGGTGAAGAAGGAGGACGAGGCGCTGGCCTCGGGGTTTTCCTGCGGTTGTACCCGGGTTCAGGGTTTCGGGTTGTCCAAGAATTGTGAAAGGGGCCATCTGAGCGAAGCCAAAACATTGAACCAAGGTGTCTCAGGGTTTCGGGCCCGTAGTTTCCCCGACATACGATTACGAGTTCAGGCTGTGGCGTGTTGAACAAAACGCTAACGGTCTCCATGTGCAGAAGCTTATAGTAGGGTTTTGCCTTCTATCGTACATTACTGCGCTCACCGCATATCTGCGGGTCTCCAAAAGATGTCTTACGAGTCGCACGCATACACAGATAGGTAGGTAGATGGACTCATTAATCAATCGGTTGGTTGGTTGGTTGGTTGGTTTGTTGGTTTGTTGGTTCCTTGGCTCGTTGGCTCGTTGGCTCGTTGGCTCGTTGG